CTATAAAGACGCATGCACACATATGTTTACTGCAGCACTATTCACAATAGCAAAGACTTGGAACCAACCCAAATGTCCATCAGTGATAGACTGGATTAAGAAAATGTGACATATATTCACCACGGAATACTATGCAGCCATAAAAAAGGATGAGTTCATGTCCTTTGTAGGGACAAGGATGAAGCTGGAAACCATCATTCTCAGCAAACTATTGCAAGAACAGAAAACCAAACACCACATGTTCTCACTCATACATGGGAATTGAACAATGAGAACACTTGGGACACAGGAAGGGGAACATCACACACCAGGGCCTGTCGTGGGGTGCTGGGAGGGGGGAGGGATAGCATTAGGAGATATACCTAATGTAAATGATGAGTTAATGGGTGCAGCACACCAACATGGCACAGGTATACATATGTAACAAAACTGCATGTTGTGCACATGTACCCTAGAACTTGAAGTACAATAAATAATAATAATAATAAAAGATATGTCAAAAAAAATGACCACATGATGCTATTGGACCATGAGCCAGGTGCATGGCCTGGCCCACAGGATGAGGTCAGCTTTCCTGTTTTCCTCTGCTACACATTGTACTCATATCTGGGCTTACCCAGATTCCTGAATTCCTCAGAAATTAGTGAATGTGAACTCACTTTATGCAACTTATACACAGATGTGGTCCATAAGGCCTAAAACGAAAAAGGATACGCATGAATAGTGCGGTTTCTCTTGCACTCTACATCCCCAGAGATCACCACCAATTCCAATGAGTTAGCTTTATCTTTTGCATGATTTTCTCAGTCTATCTATTAAATGGCTGTGCTAAACAATGCTAACATCAAAACACAATTTTTGGCTCATCTTTGAGATCAAACTTGACTGAAATATAATTTTGAAATATCCACCTTTTAAAATAACTTTCCAAGGGAACAATGCTGTGTTCCAATCAGTCACAACACATGTGTGTAGTCAGTACAGGGAGGTGCTTGTCACCACTCCCAATCCCCCACGTCTGAGGTCGCATGATCTCCTTAAGAACAACTAGAGAATGGAGACTCAGCTTAGAAAGTTTTGGAAAAACAGAGTATAAAACCTCCTTCGTGTTTGCTTGATCCAGTCTGACAGCAAGCAGAATGAGGAAGAGGCTAATGGGAAGAAGGGGTAAGCATCTCTCAGGAGACCTGGCTTCTGCCTGTCTGGGTACTGACCAGCTCTCCCTCTCAGTTGCACACATGAAGAATGCAATCCAGCAGCTCCTTCAGCCGAAATCTGACCACTGAATGGGTGGTCCTCATTGTACTAGGGGCAGCAGAAAGAACCAGTAATACAGCATAGGCCTGGGACAGTCTCGGCTCTGACCCAGGTCTCATGTTGCAGTAGCTATGAGACTTTGAGCCGGACACCAAAAATCTGAGCTGCCATTTCCTCATCTGAACAATGGATATGGTATGCTACTTTACGTCCAGGATCGACATAATCATTCTGCAAAATTCTCATAAAATCTAGCATATTGTCAGACATGTAAAAGAAATTTGTGAAATTGTATCAGTTATCATTTATACACATTTTAATAAATGTTATTGTGCATTGTCTTTGGAAAAAAGACTCAAGAAAATTAAACATGTAAATATGATTTTGAAGGAGACAGGTAATTTAGATAAGCAGTTTCCCTTTTTAAATACTTCTAGATTCATTTATAGGACTGGTTTTCCAATAATAAATGGCATCACTGAGATTCTATGATGGAAAGTATATTGGAAAAGAAATTAGTATCCAACTGTTACCCAATTGTTTTCCTATTCCTATTTAGTGTACTTCTTTAAGCATCTTTCCGAAAGATTAAAATTGCTTTTGTCAAAAAAAACCCATAATTGTTCCTTATAATTTACAAAAAAAGTTTATGCAGTTTTTATTTTTTTAAAAAAGATTCTTTTCTCCGTGGAATGTTAACTAGGGAGGGTTTCCTATCTTTCTACAGGAGTAGGATAGTAGAGAAACACATTGGAAATATTCAGAGAAATGCTTGGGTTGAAATCTTTAGTTTTCTTTTCTCGAATAAAATACTAAAGGGCCAGGCACAAACTAACCCCCTCTGAGGACGGGCACACAGAAGACCACAGTCCATCAGTTGAAAATGAAGTTACAATCTCTTGTTGCTTTTCTCAGAGTAAACAGCAGGGTGATTAAGCTCCAGCTATAAATGCCAAGCTCTTTCCCTCAGGAGCCCAATGAAGACACACCAGTGGCATCATTCTCCTTGAAAGAAAAGAGGGAACAGTGAACTCCTCCCCAGGCCTCTGCGCCTGGAGCACCAGCTCCTGTGGATCCACAAGTGGGCTGGCAGTTCAGGTGCATGAGAGATGCCAGGGACACCGTGCCTCTCATCGCTAATCTGATGCAGAACTTAGTTCCTAAGCTGCATATACAAGAGGCTGAGCGATTGTGACCCAGACTCAAGGAAGCAGAACAACCTATAAAAGATGAATTGCCTCATGCTCTGTAAGCCATGCACCCCCATTCTGGCACCAGAATCACCCTGCAGACAGCACAGGCCTGCGGCTTCCTGCGGGTTATCCTGTGTCACCCTCCATAAAGGTCATCCTTCACTGGGCTGGAGTTGAAAGACGGGTGTCCTTCCAGATACACTCCAGCTATGACATCCTGTTGGCCAGACCCCAACCCTGTTACCCACTGAACCAACAGCAACCAGGGAAGAATATTTTCTTCCCTAGGCTAGTTCTGTAGGGAACACATACCAGAATACATTTCAAGCAGCCACTGGTTAAATTTACGAAGTAGGCATATATAACAATGGCAGTTAATAAATATCACTAGCTCTTACTAAGGCTCACAATATCATTACGATTAGCTGGGAGGTTCCTCAGATTATTCCTCAACTCTCTGTCTCATTTCAAAGCAGACATTATATTATAGATTTTATTTTCTAGAATCATCTTGAAAGGCATATTGTTGTGATTACACATAAACTTCCTTCCACCTAAGAATACTCACTTTGCAGAGTACTTTAAATTTTATACTCTCTATATTATCCTATTTGATTCTATAGCAATTCACACATGTTGGATGAGAAAGTGAATTCTCAAATACTTTTGTGACCTGGGTCAAGAAATAGCAACAACAGGGCTGGGCTCAGTGGCGCACGCCTGTGATCTCAGCACTTTTGGAGGCAGAGGCGGGCAGATCACTCGAGGTCAGGAATTTGAGACCAGCCTGACCAACATGGCAAAACTCTGTCTCTACTAAAACTACAAAAATTAGCCAGGCATGGTGGCACATGTAATTCCAGCTACTCAGGAGACTGACTCAAGAGAATGACTTGAACCCAGGAGGTGCAGGTTGCACTAAGCTGAGATCACACCACTGCACTCCAGCCTGGGTAACAGAGCAAGACTCCATTTCAAAAAAAAAAAAAAGCAACAACAGGTCTTTACCATGAATCCTAGCTTCTAAGTGCCAAAGCCAGTGTCATTAGGCACCCTGTTTTGAGAGAGAGTGGCCCATGTAGGATAGGTGTTTGTGAGTGATATATCAAAAAGGACTATTTCTACTCCAAATCTGCAATTTCACCCCACTTTAGGGGGTGGAATTAAACAAGATGCCTAAGAACATTTAAGATTCTGATTTCCCCAAGGGTGATCTTTTGTCAGGGGTCAGGGTGTATATACAATTTCCCGGAGTAAAGTGCTGGTCAAATGTGTGATGTATACAGTACTTTTTCATTTCCTAAGCACCTGGGCCAACATGTTTCCAAATTAAACTTTAAACACAACCGTAGTCGATCGTGGATGTCCCATGGAAGAGAAGACTGGCCTGAGGGTGAAGGAAGATGCAATGACACTTGGGTTTCCCTGTGGCTGGGAGACCTCCCTCCCTACCCTCTCTGCAGGCTCAGGAGAGAAGCAGCACTCCAGGGGAGCGGATGTCAAAGATAGTGGCGGTGGGGGGGTGTCCCAGAAAGTGGGGGCCACCGCAGCACCATCAACCACTCCTTCTCAAGGGGTTATCAGCATAAGAGCTGTGGTCGAGAAGGACATATACCTTAGAATATTTTTTGTTCTTTCTATATTCAAATAAAATACAAGCTTGAGGCCAGGTGTGGTGGCTCAAGGCTGTAATCCCAGGACTTTGGGAGGCTGAGATGGGCAGATCACTTGAAGTCAGGAGTTCAAGACCAGCCTGGCCAATATGGTGAAACCCTGTCTCTACTAAAAATATCAAAATTAGCCAGGCATAATGGCACACATCTGTATTCTCAGCTACTCGGGAGGCTGAGGCATGAGAAGCACTCACAGCCAGAGGTTGCAATGAGCTGAGATCTCACCACTGTACTCCAGCCTGGGCGACAGAGTGAGACTTCATCTCTCTCTCTCGCTCGCTCGCTCTCTCTCTCTATATATATATTATATACACACACACACATATATATACACACACACATACACCCACACACACATATACACATACATATACATACACACACATACACATACATATATATGCTTGTGCCAGATTAACAGATTAATACAGTCACCAAATATCAGTATTATCACTGAGTGTTCTAAGGCACTGAATGATTTATTTTAACCTTGACAACCGCTTACAGGTATTATAACGTGGCTTCTCCTCTGAGGAGAATTGGTGGGTTATTCTCATCACGGTGAATCTATTTTCATGAAAGCTCTGCATCCTAGCGCACAGGACTCTCAGAGGCATGAAGGGCGGCTCAGGCCATTCAACTTCAGGGCACCTGAAGTCTCCCCAGCTCTCCCTGGGTGGGCCCTTCACACACACTAGTGCATCCCGGCCCCGGAGATGCCCTACCTGCGTGTGCGGTAGAACTGGCACCTCTTCAGGGGGATCTTGACCACGTGCTCCCGCAGGCCCACGAACAGGACGCTCTGGCTGTGCAGGATCTGCAGGCTCCTGATGGGCTCCCTCCGCCTCTCAGGGAAGAGCTCAATCTCTTCCAGCAAACAGCTGCTTGCGGTCTGATTCAGGGGCGCCCGCACTTTCTTAATGGTTCCGTAATCTGTGAAGGCCACAGGATGAGAAGGAAACAAGGTCAGCGGGTCTCACAAACCAATCCCTGGTTAAACGGAGTGTGCTGTGTACGCAGCCATGGATGTCCAGCCAGGAAAGCCATCTAAGCATCCTTCAAAAACAGTACACCTGGGCCCCACTGCAGACCAGTTAGGTCAGCTGCACTGGATGTGGGGCCCAGGCAGCAGTATCTTTTAAAATGAGGCTCTCATGCAGCAAGAGACGAGGACTAATCATCTCCAATTGGACCCTTCCAGTTCCAAGTCTAGGGATGGAGAGCTCAAAGTAGCAAGCTTTGTGCCGTTCCATGGAGAACGCCAAGGGAGAGAGACCCTCAAGGAATGATCTTGGATTCTTAGTGTCAGAGGTGCTGACTTTGGTGCCCAGCAGGGCAAGGAAAACACAATGTGATGGGCAGCTTCAAACAACCAGGACGACAATGATGCCCCCTCCTCCTTCCTGCCCAGAGAAGTACACCGTCCTCCATCTCCCTCCCTCCTCTGTCTACTTTAGTTCCTCCTTTCCTTCTAGTACCTGCTCTTTGGGATGATTTTCTTGGGCTCAACTCCTCTCAACCTTCTTTCCTGTGCTTCTGAACATCTATTTCTGGCCTGATCTAAGCCCTCCCCGCTCCAAGATTTCTGCTCCCTGGGTGTTTCTGTGCACGCATTTATCTGCTTGACTGCTAACACTGCTGGAGGGTGAGCGACCCCCGAACCATGCAGCCTTCCCAGCTATGAGGGGCACGGAGCAGGGTCTTCTCAGCATGCCAGTGGGAGGGCGGTGGGGACAGCATGGCTAGCACCCGTGTGTAGGGGGCACACACAGTTGAAACAAACATTGCTCTCCCAGGTACCCTGGGCTGCACCCCCCAACCCCTTGCTGACACCCTGCAAATCCCAGGCATGAAATCCAGCCTTCTGGAAGCCCCTCAGAGATCCACTCAAGTACCTGGAATCATCCTGAAGGCCCTGACTGAATAACATCTTCCATGATCCTGAGTTTCAAAACATCATGAATCTTATTTAGCAAACACAGAAAACGAGTTTAAGAAGTTATTCTAAACCCAGAAGTAGTCAAGAATATTGGACTTCAAGGCTTCCTATCAAGCAATTAATTGCAAAAGACCTTGGATAAAATACTTTACATTTTTCTCTATGAAAGTCTTAGAGATG